TACATTTAAGTGATATTAATCCGCCAAATAAATTTCATTTGCATTATCCAACTTCTAATTATGTTAAAATATCCCACTGTTAAATGTGTTTTTAATGACTAGTTTGAACATTGTAATAATGATCAACATTTATATAGATAAAGCATATACATAGAAAAAAAACTGAAGTTAACAAAATTTCTGCTTAAAAAGCTCATTTGTTGAAGTATTGAATCTTTGTTGATAATATTTATTGATTTATTGAAAGTCATTGAAGCGTTATCACTTCACTATGTCATTCACGTTATTAATTATTTTAAAACTGATTAATCTTTACGTTTTGATATACTACTCAAGACCTTTTTCAAGTAGTTTCAAGAAAAATATCTTGATTTAGAAAAAAATAGTTTTGTCTTGTCAAAAATAATCTGAAATTGGAAAAAGTATTTTGTAGTTATAAATGTACAACTGCATGTATAATAAAAATTAGATGTTTTTTGCTTCGATTAGTATGATAAGTAGAATGGAAAAATGTTTGTTTCGTTGGTTCTTTAGATAAATAAGTAATAGAGTAATGGTTTACAACATAGAAAACAAACTTACATTTTGTTTAGAGTGAATACTTTTGTTAGTTTTTAAAAAAAATGTGTTTGGAAAAATAAAGGACTGATTTTTTTAATGAACCATTGTTTCGTAAATCGCTATATGTAGGACGACATTTTGAGAATCTTTTTATTGATTATGACAGATAAGATACAGAATTGTGTTCAGTTTGGAAAAATAAGTAATGATCACGTTTACAAAAATATAGAACCTTTTCACCTAAAAAGTGTCATGTTGCGAAATAAAAGCAAAGCGAATGTTAACGGAATGTCATGCAGTTTAAACAAACTTTTCAAGTAATTAACCTGACATCTGAAGTCAACCCTGTTGAGTCTGTCTATTAACCTTTTGATTTCAAATAATGATTTAACTTGTTTCTGCTAGTAGAAAGAGATACATTTATACTAACCGAACTCTTCATAAAATAACCTACGTAATAAACCTTTGTATAGTCACTCAATTTTACTAAACCTAACTTGACCTCATTTACGAAAATATAGCCAGGAAATCTAAATATTTCACCTTTGTTATTTCAACATAAATGTACTGAATTACTTTTTCGAGTAATCCTGTTTGGCGTCTTAACCAAATAACCGAACTGCTACGGATCGATATTAAATATTTTCAGGTAGTTGATTTTAGTCGTTGATTTATTTTTTATTCATTCTTCTGGTGAGTTGACTTTATCTACAATGTATGTTTTATAGGTACTTCTTGATCTTGGTCAATCACCGAATACACGAGATAAGGCAGATTTAACACCATTATATTATGCAGTATTGAACAACACAATATCTTTATGTGTTGAACGATTACTATTTGATCATTCTCCTC